CCACTCCTGCTCTGGGTGTGTGTGGAGTGACCCAAAGAAGGGCTCTGGCTTTTCCTGCAGGGTGCTGGCATGAGCCAGGGAGGAGGCAGTGAGAGCTGACAGGGACTCTCTGACGTCCCCATGGGTTCCCACTCCTGGTCCCATCTGTCTCACTCCCCTGCCACACCCTTCCTGAGTGGGAACTTCAGGCTCCAGCAGAAGACATCAACCCCAAAGACAACAGCCTATTAACACGTCATACAACTGAGAAAAGCCTAACCCTGTAACTTTGGGTATAGCTCCCGATTTGGGGTTCTGGCCTCCTGATTGCACCTTGTATTATTTGTGTGTGTGTGTTTTTTTTTTTTTAATGTTCTGTATTTTATGGTGTTTTGACATCATAAAATTCTTTCTAGCCAGGGAAAGGCTGCCCTTTCTAGACTAGCAAATTCTTAGAGAGAGAGCAAAGGGCCCAGCCAGAGCAAGCCTTGCATATGTAAACTAACTACTCCAGGCCCTACCTCCTCTGCCAGGCCCTACCCCAGCAGGCGATATTCCCCTGCCTGAGCATCCATGGCCAGAAGACCCAAGGACCATGCCTAAAGCTTAGAGCCTGCTAAAATTATTCCAACTAGCCACTCCTCAACGGTTCACCTTTCTCTGGCCCACCTTCCTCATGGGCTCCAATAACAGTGTGGCCTAGGCTCCCCACTTCCCTTCCCTCCTGCCTCCCAAACACCCTGGTGCTTGCCCTGGTGGCCCTGTGTGGGCACCTGTTTCTAGGACCTGTGACTGTAACATTTTCCTGAGCCTCCCCAGTGTCTCCTTCTCATGGCCACATCTGGCTGACAACTACATAAACAAACACAAGACAAATCCTGATTGATACGATAGATCAATCTAAGGTGAGACCCTTCTCTTCCTCCACAGCTCTGCAGCCCCTGGGACTGGACTGCCATGTCCTTCCTCCAGTCTCACTATGGTGACAGGCACTTTCTGTCTTCTTTGTGGTGGGTGTTAGCTTTAGTCTCTCCATATTCTTCATTCCCACATCTGGATTACACCCCACCTGGGGTTCATAAAAGAAACAAATAGCCCCAACATGTGACCCACGCTAGGGTCATTCGAGTCTTTTTATACCAGAGCTGACAAGGAATGCTCCCTTACTCGGGGGTCATGGGGAAAGCCCCTCTGTAGGAAAAGGGGCATGAAACTAAATGAAGCCCGGCAGAGAGAGGCGGAGGTGACAGAGAAAGCAGGAGACGAGACTGAGTTCCACCATACACTCCTGATTTCCATCATGACTTCACGCACACCCCTCTCCCCCATGGACGTGTGCAGGTCCATGCCGCTTCACAGCTGTGGCCTTTTGTTTTGTTTCCTTATAGCACCATTTCCCAAAGACTCTTCCCCAAAACACAAATCCCTCAGTACTGCAAAGGATTCCGCCACTTACTAAGATGGAGAAACAGTGATCGGGAAGGGCTGAGTGGCACCCCTCCAAAATCCATATGAACCCCAATACCTCAGAGCATGACTGTGTTTGGGAATAAGTTCCTTAAGAGCTGATTACGTTAAAACCAATCCTTTAGGAATCTGACTGTGTCCTTATAAGAAGAAGAAAATGTAGCCAGCTGCAGGGGCTCACATCTGTAATCCTCGCATTTTGGGAGGCCAAGGCAGGAGGATGGAGAACAAGGAGTTCAAGACCAGCCCAGATAATACAGCAAGACCCTGTCTCTACAGAAAAATTAAAAACTTAGCCAGGCGTGGTGGTGCTCCCCTATAGTCCCAGCTACTTGAGAGACTGAGATGGGAAGATCACTTGAGCCCAGGAAATTAAGGCCACAGTGGACTAAGATTCCACCACTGCACTTTCATCTGGGTGACAGAATGAGAGGACAAAGGAGGAGGAAGGGAGCAAAGGGGAGGGAAGGGGGGAGGAGGAGCAGAAGAAGAAGGGGAAAGGGAAGAAGAGGGAGAAGAAGAAATTTGGACACAGGCTCAACACCTGTAGCACAGTGGTTACAGCGCCAGCCACATAACACCAAGGGTGGTGTGTTCGAACCTGGCCCCAGCCAGCTAAAAACAACAATGACAACTGCAACAAAAAAATAGCTGGGCATTGTGGCAGGCACCTGTAGTCCCCGCTACTTGGGAGGCTGAGGCAGGAGAATCCCTTAAGCCTAAGAGTTTGAGGTTGCTGTGAGCTGTGATGCCACAGCACTCTACAGAGAGTGACATAGTGAGACTCTGTCTCAAAAAAAGAAACTTGGACACAATGAGAGACACCAGGGAAGCGCAGGTGCAGAGGAAAGATCATGTGAGGACAGGGCAAGAAGGTGGCCCTCTGTGAGCCAAGGAGAGAGGCCACGTGGTGTAACCAATCGGACTCGTATAGTGACCCGAACATCTCCATGAAGGGTCACATTCTACACTACCGAGGTAACGGCTCTGTGAAGTCTTGCTGTAAAGATGACTGCTTACTTTACACTCTGTTTCCCAAACGTCTCTGTCTATTCCCTGCACAGAACTGCCACTAGCAAGATGGATTGCAGAGAGCAGGCCATCTGGATATCAGTAAAAATTACGTTCTTGCTCTTCAGAAATAAAGAGCAGGATAGATAATTGTCAAAAACATTTACAAAATATTAAAAAAGGAGCAATATCATAAAAATGTAGACAGCTTCATGGTGTAATGGAAAAAAGTACCAAAGTTAAAAGTGAAGTTTAGACTCTATCTCTGCTATTAACTGGCTGGGTGACCTTGGTCAAGTCCCTGTCTTCTCTGCCCTCAGTTTCCCAATTTGTCAAGTAAGTGACCTGGCTGATGATCTCTTTAAATTTGTTTTCCCTGAAAAAAAAAAAATATATAGATATAGATATAGATATATATCTCCAAGGTATTCCATACTAATATGAAATCAATATATAAACAGTTGCACGTCCATATGAACAATAAAACACACACATAGTCTAGCAAAGGAGAGGGAGAGGACAGAGAGGGGTGAGGGGATGGGGAGGGCAATTGGCAGGATCTCACCAAAGTACACAATGTGAGGGTGTTCAGCACACCCCTGGGTGAAGGGCTCAATGCCAACTTGAACTTTACCTTGGAAGTGAGAACAATATAACCTAAAAATTTGTACCCTCATATTAATATAAAATTTTTTTTAATTAAAATAAATGAGTTTCCCCTGAGTCATCCGATCTGTTGGTGTGCCGAGATTTCTTAGTGACCTCCCCCCGCTCCCCAGGGGCCTATCAGGGACTCTGGCTGGTTTCTCCCATTCAGGGTGGAGTTTTCTTCCTGTTCCCATTTTAAATTTGAAAACAGACTGCACAGCTTACTCTACAACTCCTCTCTGATGCTTCCAGTGTTCCTGGTCTTTCGCTGTTTTAATCTTCAACTTTTGTAGTAAAATAATATTTTGATTAGTTACCAGGCTGGCCCCTCCACCCATTTCCTTTATTCTTTGTCTCTCCTTATCTATGAACCCGAGCATTCATCCTGTAGGGGAGAAATCACATTGCAAAATACAGACAACAGAGGGGTCAGTTCTTGGCTTTGGGACTGAAAATCCCAAATTCTGAGTAGGTTTAGGGCACAGAAGATACATAAAGGACAGCAAAGCTGGAGACTTACTGGAAAGACTTCTGGGTCCAAAATGGTAACATGAAACTCTTTCTACCCCTATTCCTTTCTCAAAACTCATCTCAAACTAACAAGGAGAGCAGGATACTGAACCTCCAAATTAACAAGGCTATAAGCTATCTGTAGAATCAAACCAGGACATGTAGAAAGAGAAGGATAGAGGGACCAAAACGGCATGGCAGAGAGCTGAGAGCCCAGAGGAAGCAACCACCATCGAGAAGCAAACCAGGTCCCCCCTCAAACCCTCAAAGGGGTAGAAAGGATTGGAGGCAACAGGTTCCTTAAAAAGTGGGGCACTGAAACAGCCTAACCAACCCAGGAAAGGGTTAACAAGCTGTGGTATATGTACACCATCGAATACTGTTCAGCTACTAAAAAAGATGGAGACTTTACATCTTTTGTTCTAACCCAGATGGAAGTGGAACACATTCTTCTTAGTAAAGCATCAGAAGAATAGAGAAGCAAGAATCCAATGTGCTCTATTCTAATATTAAGGCAGTAGATGAGCAAATATAAGGCGGGGTGGGAGAACGAGCAAGTTGGGGAGAGGAGAGGATGGAGGGTCATGGTATACGGCACAACTCTTGGGGGTGGGACACAGTTGTAAGAGAGACTTATCTAACAAAGGCAATCACGGTAACCCTAATTCTATGTACCCTTAATGAACCCCAAACAATCAATAAAACTTTTAAAAAGTGGGGTATTGAAAATGGGGCCATGTGGAAAGTCTGTATAAATAACAAATGACTCCATGATGGCCAACCTCTAAGACACGACCTACCAAATAGCCTATCTTCTGGTATTCACACATTTGCTTTGCTTCTTCCACATTGTGCCATGGTTGGTCTGTGTGACTAATAGAACACACAGAGACAAGGAGAAGCCACTTCCAAGTTTCGGTTATAAAGACACACTGCAGTTTCCACCTGAGTCTTAGCCTGCCTCTCTCTCATATTACTGGGTCTATGAACTTCTTAACAACAACACTGGGTGCTAGAAGATAATGAAGAACACCTTAAAATCCTGAGCAAAATTTATGTTCAGCCTAAAATTCTTGCCCTGGCCAACTAGGGGGGGAAAAGGTATTTTCAGATGCTCATGCACCCCTCTCAGGCAACTGCCAGAAGTTGAACTCAACCAGCCTGGAAGACTAAATCGTTAGAAATGGAGCCATAGAATTGAGAGAGCAGGGTTCTAACACAGGAGAAAAGTAAAGGGCGCACCAGCCGGCATGATGACCCTGCTAAGGCACCTGGGACAGGCTGGGGCAGGAGGACAGAGCTCTCCAAGACACATGTCTCCAGGGCAGAGGGGAGAAAAGCTGGACCACGTGGAAATTTATTTCAAAAACTATTTCGGACACTTTCGTCCTCTCCAGCTCATCATGGTGGCCTCCCGGGCAATTGGCAGCCTCAGCCGCTTCACTGCCTTCTGGATCCTCCGGTCCCGAGGTTATATTTGCCGAAACTTTACAGGGTCTTCTACTTTATTGACCAGAACCCACATTAATTATGGAGTTAAAGGGGATGTGGCAGTTATTCGAATTAACTCACCCAATTCAAAGGTAAATACGCTGAGTAAAGAAGTGCATTCAGAGTTCATAGAAGTAATGAATGAAGTCTGGGCTAATGATCAAATCAGAAGTGCCGTCCTTATCTCATCAAAGCCAGGCTGCTTTATTGCAGGTGCTGATATCAACATGTTATCTGCTTGCAAGACTCCTCAAGAAGTAGCACAAATATCACAGGAAGCACAGAGAACATTTGAGAAACTGGAAAAGTCCACAAAGCCTGTCGTGGCTGCCATCAGTGGGTCCTGCTTAGGAGGAGGACTTGAGCTTGCTATTTCATGCCAATACAGAATAGCAACAAAAGATAGAAAAACAGTATTAGGTGCCCCTGAAGTCTTGCTGGGGATCTTACCAGGAGCAGGAGGCACACAAAGGCTGCCCAAAATGGTGGGTGTGCCTGCTGCTTTTGACATTATGCTGACTGGTAGAAACATTCGTGCAGACAGAGCAAAGAAAATGGGACTGGTTGACCAGTTGGTGGAACCCCTTGGACCAGGATTAAAACCTCCAGAGGAACGAACAATCGAATACCTAGAAGAAGTTGCAGTTACTTTTGCCAAAGGACTAGCTGATAAGAAGATCTCTCCAAAGCGAGACAAGGGATTGGTGGAAAAACTGACTGCATACGCCATGACCATTCCATTTGTCAGGCAACAGATTTATAAAAAAGTGGAAGAAAAAGTGCGAAAGCAGACCAAAGGCCTTTATCCTGCACCTCTGAAAATAATTGATGTAGTAAAGACTGGAATCGAACAAGGAAGCGATGCTGGTTATCTCTCTGAATCTCAGAAATTCGGAGAGCTCGCAATGACCAAAGAATCAAAGGCCTTGATGGGACTTTACCATGGTCAGGTTCTGTGTAAGAAGAATAAATTTGGAGTTCCACAGAAGGAAGTGAAGCATCTGGCTATTCTTGGTGCAGGGCTCATGGGAGCTGGCATTGCCCAGGTCTCTGTGGATAAGGGGCTAAAGACTATACTTAAAGATGCTACGCTCACTGGGCTGGGCCGGGGACAGCAGCAAGTGTTCAAAGGGT